TCGGCCTCCAGTGGCCAACGCTTGGCGGTAGTATTTGTCGATGGAATAAAATTGCTCTTTGCGCTCACGCTTGGCTGGGTTAATCCAACTGATGCCAATATCCTTCTTCCGCTCGGTGAAATCTTTGCCGTTCCATTCATACGCACTCTCAGAGGAGAACTTCTGCAAGTCATCAATGCCGAGGGTCTCATACTTCTTGTTGAGCTCTGCAGTTCGTTCTTCGCCTTTACGCAGGATTGTCTCGATATCTTCATCTTCGGCTACATCCCGTTCATCCCCGCCCTTGGTGTTGAAGACGTCGGCAGCGCCGTGCTGAATCATACCAAGGAGGTCCTCCTTCGAAGATGCCTTGCTGGCCTGTTGTCCAGCACGACCTTGCTGAATGACAAGCTGATCCAAACGCAGTTTCTGAGCTGCTCGCTCCAGAACCTTCTCTTCAATGGCGTTCTCTGTGATAAATCGGAAAACTTTAACCTGCTTGGTCTGACCAATGCGGTGAGCTCGGTCCATGGCTTGCAAATCAGCTTGCGGGTTCCAATCACTGTCGAAGAGGACGACAATATCAGCTGAAGTCAAGTTGATACCCAGACCACCAGCTCTGGTGGTGAGAAGGAAAACGAATTTGTCGGATCCGGGTTTGTTGTAGTCATCAATGGCAGCAATGCGATCCTCGTGTGCCGTGGTACCATCGATACGGCAGTAGTTGTAGTCTCTGAAACAACAGTAATCTTCCAAGATATCCAGTACGCGACTCATTTGAGAGAAGATGAGCACACGACTACCATCCGCTTGCATGCGCTTCAGAAGTTTGTCCAGAATGGCCATCTTTCCGGAGTTGAAAATAAGATGTTCATCGGTAGTATAAGGAGGGCCTGGTTCAGCTCCCTCGAACAGGTAGGGATGGTTGCAACACTTCCGCAGTTGCATGACAATATTCAACAGGCGGGTCTTGGACTCACGCTTCCCAGCGGCACCGTTGACGGCGTCAATATCTTTCTCCAGAATCTTCTGGTACCACCTCCGCTGCATTTCAGACATTGGGACATAAAGATTGAGTTCCTTTTTCGGTAGCAAACTCTTCTCGACATCGCTCTTCACGCGTCGGAGTAAGAAAGGGCGGAGAACACGGTGGAGTTGCTGCACCACGGTGTCTTGGTCGGAATCCTGGCTTGAGAACCACTGGTCAAATGCCTCGGAATCACCGAAGACATCTGGGAGAAGGAAGTTGAGCAAGGCCCACAGTTCATGCAGATTGTTTTGTAGCGGGGTACCGGTAATTAGCAACCGATTGCGGGAGTTGAAAAGACGGATGATCTGCGACAGCGATGATTCTTCGTTTTTGATCCGATGGGCCTCGTCGATGATAATGTATTCCCAGGCAAACTTCTTCAGGTGCGACTTCTCGCGGAGGATCATTTCATAACTGGTGATGCAGACATCGAACTCCTCCTCGACTAAGCGCTCATTGATCAACTGTTGTCTTTCGTCTTTGTTACCTTGGAGCACCAGGACATCGATGTCGGGAGTCCACTTTGCGAACTCTCGCTTCCAGTTGTCCAAGGTTGATTTCGGTACGACGACCAAATGAGGGCCATTGATATCACGGATGTAACGTAGATATCCTAGGAATGAAATCGTCTGCAGGGTCTTGCCGAGACCCATCTCATCGGCCAGGATACCGGAGATACCGTTCTCGTGTAGCGAAACGAGCCAGTTCAAGCCTGCAACCTGGTAGTCACGTAGCTCACCGTGGATGAATGCTGGCGACTCTCGGAATACGGTGGTGCTATCACCACCCTGCTTCTCATCCTGCAGCAGTTCTGCGTCTTCTTCTTGTTCGGTTCTGCGGCGCCGCTCACTACCAGCACCCCCAGTGCGCTTGGAGCCCTTGCGAGCCTTTTCCTCTGTCTCCGCATTTTGCCGGTCAATTTCCGCCATAATCCCTTTGATTTCAGGGTTTGGATTCGTCTCGATGAAGTGGCGAAACAGGTCAGTGAGACCCAGAAGGTATCGGAATCGGCGAATTGAATCATCCTCCTACAAAACACCATGTATGAGAAAAGGGGTTATCAGCAATTTTATGTTATGACCCATACCTTCGTATTATCGAGGCGGCCATGCTTCTTGCCTAGGATGCTTTTTCTGAGGTGGTTGGCCTCAGATCTGCGCCTACGTCCATCAGCCGCGGCGTCGCCTGCAACGCTGCTTGCAGTGGTGTTGGGATTTGTGTCAGAGTCCTATCCAGATAATTAGCAACCCTCCCTCTCTAACAGCGTTATAGACCAAGGGCATCGTTACCGTGTAATCTGGGGTGTTTTGGCGGCTCTGGATTGCGAAAGAAAATTAGCATGAGCTTCGAATTTGGAACAGAAGAATCAAGATATATATGGGCAATCATGCAACGATCTGTTCTAGACAAGCGAGTTGGAACAATGTCACATACCGTCATTTGCGCGTCGGCACTATCCACGGGCACCAAAGGAACCGTGTCGTCATTTGTATCAGTCATGGGTGTATCAGCCTGCGAGACTGGATCAGACGCGAGGGCAGGAGCCATGTTTTATCTTTGGTGAATAGAGTGGAGGTGTTTTCGCTGTTTCAACACGCCTCTGAGCGTGCAACAAAGAATATCGGAAGCTCGCGACTAGTCGGATCGCGTAGTGCAGGAAGAAAGAACCAACTGCGGTCGGAGTGGTGAAGAAATGAAGGGGATTGTGCAAATATAGTCCAGGGTAGATTCAACAGTTGCAGCAACTCATCAATGGTGATCCCATAGATTGAATGCCACTGGACAATTCTAGACCAGGATTATTGAAGGTTATCCAAAGCGCGTCCATGGCAAATGAAGATACCGCCTTTCGGTAGGGCCTGCGGTATGGAAGATTGTTATTCCGTCGGAAAGTGGGCTTCTCGTTACCGGGCCAGGGCGGTCATCTGCAACAACCTTGAAAACGAAAGTTCCTCCGTTGACACATCTGAGTGCCGCTTATTGTTGCACAGTTCGGTGAACAACTACCTTGATATATCTGATTATAGCTATATTGGCTCTTGCCTTCTATCTTCTCACGGTCCCTCTCATATCCACTTCTCTCTTTCACCAGTTCCAAGCTCTTCGCTATCGCCATTTGTCCACTGGAGGAGGGACGCACGGCATAAGAAGTTGTTAATACAAACACTTTCGTCCACAAACCGCTGCCTAACAGGGCCTTGACATTCTTCCCTGCCATGGACTCCATGAGGTCTCTCAACACCTCTCTTCCGAGCTCGACACCCCGCCCGCAACCTCCGGAGCAACTCCTCCAGCAATTCAAGGCGGCAGCTCTATCCGTCACAAACCTGTACAAGAATGCAGTATGTGAACAAGCCCAGGCAAGATCGGCAGGATACCAGGACGCGATAGAGGATCTGCTCCATTTCCTTGACCGCGAGAACCTCGGTCTCGGAGACGGAGAGGGGTGGAAGGTTCGACAATGGGCAACCGAAAAATGTGACGGAACTGGGTCACAAAGCAGCGATGAAGACGCCGAGGCCGACAAGCGTGACCGCAGTGCTACTCCGGTTACTGTCCGCAAAGAAAAACCTACATCCGAAACAATTGCTCGTCAGCCCCCCCACTTCAGCGCCCGCACCCACATCCAAACCAGAGTCGACCACTCCTCCTCCTCCTCCTCCTCCCACACAGCTCCACGAAGCACCTTCTTTCGCCACACCTGCCGTCTTCACCTTCTCCGCTGGTCCTACATACCCTCAGTGTCAGGAGCTCGACATGGATGTGCAGTCGTCAGACAACTCATCTGCGACTATGCAGGACGGCGCTCCTGTGAGCGTCTCCGTGATGCCTCGCAACAGTCGACCACACCACCGCCACAACAACCACCCACGATCAAATGCGCGCCCTTCGCCACGGGAGTCCCCCCGCCAGTCTTGGGTCCAAGAGGAAATTCACTTTCCCAGATTTCTTCGATCTGTCAGGACTTAATAACGGACGGGATGCATCAGGAGGCGGGAAACGAGGCCGCTTTACCTAGGGCTTGACCCAGATCAAGTATTATATGATGACGAAGTGACGACCATTCCCTTCTGATTGTCACACAGTGGCTGGTTGAGATTTCGGGTATGAAGGTGCTTTTCGGGTGCATAACAAGGAAGGGACATTTTGCATATGATTTTTTTTTTGTTGTTGTTCTTCTCTTCCTTGGGTTTCTTTGTTGTCTTCTTGTCTCTTTTTCTTATTATTTTTTTCCCCCTTCCCCTTGTGATATAGCATATAGACGGATATGCCTGGTGGTGATACCCGATACCCGGAGTGGCAATTATCATTGGCTTGCAACTAAATAACAATCAATATCTTACAAAGCTTCCAACCTGCGCTTCACTATCAAACATCTAGCCTGCTCGGTCCTGGCCTTCATCTCATCCCATACGCTTTAGTATGGGTTTAATGTACAATACTCAATTAAACGCCCGCCACAGCCCCATTCCCACTAATGTCGCAGAGATCGAAGCAATCCCCAATTTGCGCGAGCCCATCTTGTATTTTGTGGGGCCTTGCATGATGGCTTTCTCTTGTTTCCGGAGATTGGCCATTCCAGTGTAGTAGCTGTAGACTCCAAGGCCCACAAAAGCAGCAGATCCTGGTATAGAATGTCAGTACGAAATGCCCGTAATACCAGCCCGGATCACAGGCTAAAATTAAAACATACCAGTCACTCTGCAGGACAAACAGTCGTCGTACTTGTCCTCAGCCAAAGCCTGCTTGGCGTCTTTCGGCTGGGCATCCATGCCACGCTTATCAGAGGTGAAGAGTGTGTAGAGTGAATTAAACATTTTTCGGAGTAAGAAACAGAACCAAGCGTGCACTGTATCACCAGAGCCCGGTTACTATGAGTTGATGTCTGTTGACTCCAAAAAGTTATCGGAAGGCGGGACTCGGCGGCAATACACGAGAGCTATGCAATCGACGCGGACACAAGTAATCTCATCATCAGACAACAGTCATCATGAGCGGCGAGATTGATGCCGTTTACATATATGACGAGCAAAAGTGGGATATTCTGCAATGGCTTGCAAGACTATACTAACCCGTCCTCCTCAGTGCCCCCCTCGTCGAACATGTATATCGATCCCGCCCGCCCTCGGCCTCCGCCATCTTGCCCCTCTACCTTGCCCATGCCGAACCGCGCCCTTCCTTGCTGTATATCCCTAGCGCTTCACCGCCGGTGACGGTATTCTCGACAGTAGAGTCGAATTTGTTGTTTCTTGCAATAAGCGAAGTCGACACGGAGCCGCTTCTAGCACTGGAGTTCCTCCATCGCGTGATCGATGTACTAGAGGACTTTGTTGGAGCGCCACTGCTCACAACTAAGATTCAGGCCAATTACGATGTTGTTGCGCAGCTTCTTAATGAGATGTGCGATGGGGGAACAGTATGCAATACCGAACCCAATGCATTGCAGGAGGTTGTTGAGGTTCCCGGGTGGATGGGGAAGCTGTTAGGTGGAATCGGAGTACCTGGGTGAGCAGCTCTTGACTTGACAGACGATAGGATTTGACATTAATATGTTCGCACGGGGTTTAGTACATCTACGCCAACGCTAGGATCTACCAATCCTCTCAAGCAATCCCTCGCCGCCGCCAGTGCATCACAAGGACCCGCCATTCCTTGGCGACGGCCCGGTGTACGGCATACCTCTAATGAGCTATATGTCGACATCATTGAATCTCTTTCTGTTACTATGGCTCCTTCGGGACGGCTGCTGTCTGCATTGGTATCCGGCACGGTTGCATTTACTGCGAAGATATCGGGAGTCCCGGACCTACTACTATCGTTATCGGCGCCGGGTGGTCAGCATGTCCTTGGTCGCAAGATTGAACTACCAGTTTTCCATCCATGTGTTCGACTAGCCCGATGGAAGGAACGGCCGGGGGAGCTCAGCTTTATACCTCCCGATGGGCGGTTTATTTTGGCTGGATATGAAGTGGATCTTCTTCCCATAGATCCTGACCAGGAAGAGCCACCAACCCATATGGAAAAATTATTCCTACCTGCTATTGTCGATATCCGCAAATCACTTGGGTCATCTGGCTCCGAGTTTGAGGTTCGACTCACTTTGAACACAAATTTCCCGGGCCAAAGCTCATCCTCGCGGCCTGGAGTTCCCCGGAGCGGATCCGGGACATCAACGCCGTCATTCCTAGGTGGGGGCGGAAGTGGAAACTCCGGACCAGCACTTGAAGAGGTCGTTGTTAGCGTACCGATCTCAAAGTCCGTCCGCCATATCACGGACATGCAGGCCAGCCGTGGTGATGCTCAATTCACCCCCTCAAGTGGGCTCCTCGAGTGGCGGATCCCCACTGGCAAGGATGCCGGGTCATTAACTGGAACAGCCACACTGCGTTGCAGTGTCTCGGGCTATCCATCCGCCGATGATGACTTTGACGACAGCGTCGAGGACGCCGACGAAGACGCCAATGCCAACCTCCTGCAAGGCTACTACGAGGCACCCACCTCCTACAATGATGCATCCGCCAGTATATCCAAGAAAACCCGATCCTCCGACCCATCCAAGCGCAAAAAGAAAAAGAAGAAGTCAACAAAGAAATCCTCCCGATCCGCCGCTTTACACCCAGAAGACGTGGAAGAAGACCGCGTTGCGACTACCAGTCCATCCCCAAATCCCTCTATACCTCACATCCCCACACCCCCTCTCCAATCACAATCCCAGTTTAACGCCAACCTCCCCGCATTCTTCGCCCCATCATCTACGTCCCGTCCCACGCGCAGAACCAAAGCCCAGGTCAATGCAAGCCTGATGCCCAACTCGGCGTCGGTATCCTTCTCCGTGCGGGGCTGGCTTCCCTCTGGTATCAAAGTGGACAGTCTCAACATTGATCAGCGTCGCAGTCGTGGCTTAGGCGAGGGCGTTAAGCCATACAAGGGTGTCAAGTACCTGTGTGTGAGTAATCGCGGCGTGGAACGGCGCTGCTAAAGCCCAATGTACTTGACTTGTTTCCTTTTTTTCGGTCAGATGAACCGAGGTGTTTGTCTGGTTTAGATAGCGCATTCGATAATCACTGCATTTGACAGCATGAATGATGATATGAATGTTCAACCTGTCTATATTTTTTTCCATGAGGGGTGTACCTTGGTGTAACACGGTAGACCAGAGGGTTTTGTACAAAAACTGAATACCTAGGTAGTTACCTTCTCTTCTATTGTGGGAGCCCTAAGACTCTAATACCATGCGAGGATGTCTAGGTAAACTACATACTCACCCGCCTACATGGTAATACATATCCAAGGTAACAAAAAGACTCGAATGAATTCCAAAAATACATGGCTCATATATTCAAAACAAAACCATCACCCAATATAAAAGCAATCAAATCCAAAGACTACTAGTACTTACCTAGATGGTAAATTATTTTACTATAGAAAGATCCCGAAGTCATATGCTAATCCAAGCCGAACCCCAACTTCTCTTCCAAGACAAGGGGTGATCAGCACCAAAGCAGTAGACCCTAAGCGGGGTATCCAAATTCAGGGGGCGAGTGTTCACGTTCACAATTTCGAGGATCGGCGCTCGAGGACCTGCAGAACGACGTAGGCAACTATTATGGGTTAGACTGTGATTTTCAAAAGCTTTGATAGGGTATGATCTGCAGATTGAAATGATTGGAACAGATATGAAGACGCATTAGAATGTAAAGGGAACGACAAAAAAGGAAACGAGGAAAGATTCATTAAGATTCACGGATTATGAGCTTATCTTGTACTCGATTCCGGGGTATAATGACAGGGTGAAAAGGAAATGGTAAAGATCGACGTTCTCGAAGGGGAAACAGAATTAAGCCAGTACATGAGGTTGGGGGTATATAGAATAGGCAGGGATTATGCGTCTTCATCTGAAGCATATAAGCAGCCACAGACAGGGGGTTGGTGCAGGGATCTCGGAGCTTATTTCTCCTCTTCATCTAAAGAAAAGTCTCCGAGACCAAGCTAAACCCACCGAGACATATTTGTGCAAGATGTGGAAAATATTCACAGAAATGGCAGGGGGGAAAAGTAAAGGGAATTAGAAAGGATCACTTACTGGCAGCAATAGCAGCAGCTCTGCCGGCTCCAGCCTTCGCACTACCTCCACCCAAAGTGAAGATGCAACGCAGCCAGCCGAGACTCAGCTTGTTGCCGTTACGGTCAAAGTCGGGTTGCAGAGCGCTGGCAGCATTGAACTTGCTGATCTTTCCGGCGTACGGTGGGTACCGGATAGCCAGAAGGGACTCCAGCCAGCTTGGGGTGGAAGTGATGGTGCGGCGGTGCACCCAGACGTCAAAGCTGGAGCGGCCGCGGTAAGCACCGTAGCCACTCTCGCCGACACCACCGAAGGGGAGGGTTGGGATGTGCAGCGCAGCGTCGTTGCAGGAAACGCCGCCGGAGCGGGTGGAGGACACAACTAGGAGAGAGGGTTAGAATAGCTGTCTTTGCGGAGTATCAGATGCAAAACAGAAAAGAGGGAAACTTACTCTTGTTAACATCAGCCTTGTTACCGAAGGGGTAGAGACCCAGGGGCGTGCTCTGGACACCATTGGCCAGGCTGATGGCCTCGTCGAGGTTCTCCACAGGCAAGATGGGGATGAAGGGACCGAAGCTCTCCTGCGAGCACAGGGAGTCATCAACTGAGTCGACCTGGACAACGGTGGGCTCGATGAACAGCTCCTTCTCATCCATAGTGCCACCCATAAGGATCTGGCCCTTAGTGTTATCAAGCATGGACTTGAGACGAGCGAAGGCGGTCTCATTGACGATGCGCGCGTAATCAGGCGAGCCCTTGGCACCCTGGGGATAGAACTCCTTGTACGCATTCTTGAATTCTTGTACGACCTCCGGCACGAGCGACTTGTCGACCAGCAGGTAGTTTTGTGAGGTGCAGAGCTGGCCGGCGTTCAGGAGCTTACCCCAGAGCATGCGGCGGGCGACGAGACGCGGGTCCGCGCTCTTGGACACGATAGCTGGGTTCATACCGCCAAGCTCAAGCACGACGGGGGTCAGATTCTGTGCAGCGGCCTTGGCGATGATGCGTCCGACGTTGGCACCACCCGTGAAGAAGATCTTGTCCCACCGTTCCGCAAGCAGGGCCTGTGTCTCGGGGATACCGCCCTGGATGATTGTGTAGCATGAGGGGTCGAGACTGGCCTCGATGATCTTTTGCATGACGGCGGCGCTGCGGGGAGCATTTTCGCTAGGCTTGATCACCACTGTGTTTCCGGCGGCGATGGCACCGATGGCGGGTCCGAGAGTCAACTGGAAGGGGAAGTTGAAGGCACTGGAGTAGAAGGGGCTTGTTAGTCTTTGGGGTGGTTCTCATGCGCATCGCGAGGGGAGACGTACCCAATGACCAGCACAGTACCCAGAGGATCCTTTCTGATCTTGGGGCTCATGAACTTGAAGGCGAGATCAATATCGGAGGCCTTCTCATCCTTAGCCCATTTGTGCAGGTTGCGCGTCGTGAAAACAATGTCGTTCAGGAGCCATCCGCTCTCTCCGAGGTTGGTCTCGAACCGAGGCTTGTTCAGGTCCTGGGCGCAGGCCTCCATAATATCCTCCTCATTATCTTTGATGCTGGGAAAGTGTTAATTTATTGACCAGAAAGACAAAAGAACTCAGTACTCACGCCCAGTACAGCTTCCGCAGCTGGACGAGGCGGAACTCCAGGTCGCGGGTCTTGTGCTCATCAAACGCCTTGCGGACTGTGGAGATGCGTGTGGGAATCTCCTCGAGCGAAGTCGCTCTAAATTCGGGTAGTGCAACCATGACGAAGGTAAATTAAGATAAATTAAGTTAAATTGATCAAAAAGAGAGAAAGTGAAAAAAGTGAAAGGTTGTCTCCGGGTATATAAGTTGAATGTGGACAGTCCCCGCTCCATAAAACGATCTACAACAAACGCCATTCCTCAACAATTAAATTACCTACTCCGTGCTCTCTTCATATCAACCCCTATTTGTTTTTTTTTTAGGCCCACATGCTCCGAGCTCTCGGCTTATGCTAGTTTAGGTCTTTACGCCGGTGATATGATATTTTTTTCCTTCTTTTTCTCTCTATGTTTAAGGATTGAATTCAAGTAATATCAACCTTTGATGTAGTTGTATACCTATGAATGATATCTTCAAGATATCCAACCGCGGCTTCACACGAACTACCCCGCTCAAGATGATCGGCACAAGCAAACCTACCTAGGTAAGGTCACTAAGGTCACTAAGGTTACTAAGGTTACTAGGTTCTAGACAAATCAAAAAAGTGGAGACAATCGTATTAGCTCGGCTTTGACATATGCAACATATACGTAGTTACGTACCTATGTTATAGGTAACCCTATCTACATCACAAGAACATTGAATCATTGAATTGGGGTATCATTATCATAAACAGCATGGACAAATCGTAATCCACTTAAAATCAATACTGTACTGTACTGTGGATTGTTGTAGTTCACCATAGTATGGCATGCCTCATGCGCCGAGTTTCACGCTCAAAGCAACTAGGGCGCTTGTTAGGAGTATTTTCCCATGTCTGGGTTACTTGCTGGCGTTTTTTATTTGGCGACATTAATTCCAGCGGAGCTCGTTTGTCTTGGAACTGCGCCCGCTCAAAGTCAATGCACATTACTCGACCACTGTCCTCGTTCCAGATCATGTTCCCGGGGATTGGATCATTGTGGAGCACGCCTAATCCGTGGATAGCATGTAGCGAGGTCTAGACTTGTTGAATTAACCGATTTCGATCAACCTTGTGTCATTTAGCCAGCGTCCTGCCCGCATACCCCATCAACATCAAATGCACAATCCCCGCGATGCCGCCATAAGAGAATGGCTGGCGGAGAGATAGGCCACCCAGTAGAACTGGCACGTGCACCCCCTGTATTGGACGAAGATGTGAATACACGCACCCCTCGTGGTAAGCGTGTTCGACAAAGTCGATAGGCGCACCTTTGCCAACGAAAGTATACCCATGAGACAACAGAGTCACTTTAAAAAGGGCTCCGCGAGTGCCATGAACATGCAAGGACTCGCATCCTATATCCAAGTCAGCCGCGGGTCAGGTCGGGAAAGTTGCCGATCCAAGAGACGAATGGGTGTCGCCTGACTGGTTGAATGTCGACCAACTCCATGATCCAGCACATTGGGGCATTTCTGATCCAATGTTCCTCTCGTGACCAAGCCTAAGAGGCACCGTTGCGTACAATACTGGTGGGACTTGCCCTTTGAGTAAGATCCATCTCATGGCATTATTGCGGCTGATGATGGCGACAAGGCTGAAGAATCGGTGAAGCTGGAGCCCTTGGGCTGCCGACTCGGGGCGTTGGGGTCAGATCCGTCGGGGGAATCATCAGACTCAGATGAACTCAGAGCTTCCAACGGAGTACATGATGCAAAACCTGCAACAGTAGACTTTGATCACGTCTTGACAGGAGACACACGACAGTATTTGTTTCTGCTCTGTGGGGATTTTAATACCGAAGAGGGCACATCCAGCACCGATATTTCGTCCCAAAGGTTGTCATATATAATTTCCCATGTGTCCAGTTTGCTCGCTGCCCATCTTTGCCATTGGATACCCCGCTGCGGCGTTTGCAAAGCACGGAGGGTAAAGGCCAACACCTGGCCGAGTGCTGTCAAGTGTAATCTGTTATCGTCACGTAGATTACCGGTCCATCCAGTCGTATCACCAGCGTCTTCTCTCGGCACCGATAGATAATGGTATACAGGGGAAGGACAATCATGTGAAACACGAAGAAATATAAATGCATCGGTGGGATACACATATCCATACTCCATCCCACCATTGATCATGTAGGAAAATTGCCTGTGTGATGACTGCAGCCACAACACGTTGGTAAATACTGCTGGTTAGCTGGGCATCATATGCATTTACACATTCTCACAGTGGCCAATGCTTCTTGTATGTAGCAACCATGCGACCTGAGCATGGCTTGTTGAGACAGATTTCTCGATACCCTGGTTGCCTGGCTTCCACGAGCTATTTAGCTAGCTTCAGGATGTTTATAGAGAATAAATAACACCTCATTCTTCTCTTCCAAGGTTTCAAGTTCCCTCCTATTTTGTCATGATTTCATTGATGTACAACATTTGAAGACAGCCTTTTGAGTTCGACGAGCCACCTGGTAGGCGGCTGCTTAGATAGAATGGCACAGTAACTTCACTTCAGAACAGGGGATAGGCTGGGAGCGTTGCTTGCATTCTCTATCATTACTATAGTCAATATATATGATAGACGCATCATCTAATCTGACATGTTATCATCTTAACACGGCCTTATAATGCTTCACACTTCCTTCCCAAGCAGAGTGCTTTAGAGGCCATGGCTTGGGCTTATACTCTTTTCCGCCCAACTCTCCGGGGCCCATTTACGGGTTGCGACCATAGCTTTATACAGAGCTTTTCTACATGCCCCCATCTATGAATTCACCAGGATACCTCTGAAATAATCACATATATTCAAATTAAAGAATCAAGTATGCTGTGATTTCCAAAATGCAAAATAAATCGGCCACCTTACCCTCCAATGAGAAAGCAAGGCCGAGAGGGAATCAAATCAATATCGTATAGATAAAAAGGAAAACGCCACAATCAACAAACACAAGACATCACAAGACATCAAGCACATATATAGAGATAGACAGCCAAGACCATCAGGGTATCAACACGAGCCGGCACGATAAATCAGTTCTTGAACTGATCCTCGGTCACACCCTTACCCATAGCAGCGGTACTGCTAACACCACCGGAAACCATCTTCAGCAGGTTATCAACGTAGTTAGCACCACTCCACTTCTGGTGGGTGACAACGTCAACGCCCTGCTCCATTTCGGGCTCCTGGACGAGCTCGCCGTAGGCGCGCATGCCGTTCTGCGAGAATGCCTTTGCGAACTGGTGCGAGATAAGGGCGGTAGTGTGCAATCCAGCCAGAGTGATGAACTGCCACGAGTAGCCGAGCTGGCCGAGACGCTTGATGTAGGTCTCCTGCTCGTCGCGGGGCATAGCCTTCTTCCAGTTGAAGGAGGGAGAGAGGTTGTAGGCGAGTCTGGTGGGGTTTGTTAGTAACGGTGCTAATATAAGGGAGAAACCCTGGAGAAAAAGAACTTACTTTTGCTCGGGCCACACGGCGTGAACACCGTCAGCGAACTCCTTGGCCTGGTTGTAGTCGGGCAGCTTGCTCTCCATCCAGATGAGATCAGCGAAGGGAGCGTAGGCGATAGCGCGGTTGACGGCGCACTGGGTGCCACCCTGGTAGCGGTAGAAGCCCTCGCGGGTACGGGGGGATTCCCAGTTCCAGAAGATATCGACGCCAGTGAGGCTCTTGGCGATGGCGCGGGATTCGGCGTTGCTCTTGCCCTTAGAGGCAGTGAGGTACTGGTCGATCAGGGCCTTCTTGTTGGCGTTGGAGCCGGCATTGATAGTGTCGATGACGGCTTCGCTGAAGAGCTTGAGACCGGCCTGAGCGGTCCATTGGTCCTCAATTGCCTGCAGCTGAGCACCGCTCTTGCCGGCCTGCTCGGCAGCCACCATCAGGTCGTTAAGAGGCTGGATGCTAGAGTTTGTGGAGCCGACGATGAAGGCGTGGTCGCGGTGGTCGATGGTCGATGTGATGAGGGTGGCGGCCTCAGAGTCGGTACGAGCGATGGCTAGGAGGTCAGAGCCCATGATATCGGCCTGGGCGCGGATGGCAACCAGACGGTTGATGTGCTCGCTGATGGGGACGAGGACCTTTCCGGCCATGTGGCCGCACTTCTTTGTACCGGGAGCCTGATCTTCGATGTGGATACCGGCGGCACCACGCTCGACGAACAGCTTGGTCAGCTTCATGACGGCAGTCAGACCGCCGTGTCCGGTGTCAGCATCGGCGATAATGGGTCGCAGGTAGTCGACGTTGGCGACGTTTCCACGCTGGCCGGCGGGGGTCGTAACGCGCTCCTCGCGCTGTTTGCGGTCATGGAAGAGCTGTGCCATGAAAAGCTGGTTCACCTTGCGAGGCACGGTGTCCTGTGGAGTACTTGTAAGTATGCGCCAACTTTTGATATCGCGAAGTATATTCAACCTACCATGGGGTAATCGGCCAGATCGGGGGAGGGCTCATCGGTTGACGAAGCAGTAGACGAACTCTGCCATCCAGAGACGTAGATAGTATCAAGGAACTTGCACATTTGAGTGATCATGGTAGGCTCAAGACATCCGTAGGTGTAGCTGGCCTGCTTGTTCTATTCGTGAAGCGCATAGTTAGTATCTATAGAGTCGTGAAGGGTCCACATTTCTCAGTTAAACTTACCTGGAAGTTTGATTCGACAATACCCCAGAGCTTCTTTGCTTGCACATTGGACGGGTAATCGATCTTCAGGTTACCACGCTTGGCCACAATCTGCTCGGCTGTGAAAGGCCGCTTGGTGTAGCGCCACCGAGAGTCCTTCCACCAGTTTTGAACGGCCTGGACCTCCGCCGCAAACTGGCGGTCCTCGTCTTCGTGTAGACCCATGACTTTTTGGTATAATACAGAAAAAAGGTACAAATATAGTTAGATGATATATTCAGGCGTGGAAGTATCACGTCTGTTCCAGTTCCAAATCTAGACTGGAAGAAATGTAGAAAAGGAATATCGAAGGTAAGAAGGGAATCGAAGCTATAATAAAAAAGAAGAAGGGATCACAAGCCAGAAAAACCCGGGGTACTTATTAAACATTTGAATGCGTCACAGTCGGTAAACGCTCGGCTCACCGGGACTCAGGCGAATACATTCGTAAATTGCTAATTGCCTAGGTACACTCTTTCTCAGCTTTCACGGGCAAAGCGCTCCGAAAGGCGGAAGGCGGGTACAACTGGGCTCGGAAGAGAGGATCCAGGCTTTGGTGATCCTCGGTCTAATGGGACAACCCTTTGCCACTACTGACTAGGCCTTCCATTGGTGTATCACAATAATCGGCATCTCACTAGAATGTAGAGAGCATTGTATTCTATGTACTTTTTGTGATCTTTTCCTCCTTGGTTGTCCAAGTTGGTTTGATATTGTTTAATGTTTAATGTTTAATGTTCGATGTTCAAATGTTTTAATGTTCAAAACCGGATGACGTCGAAGACACATGCCATTACCGTGACAATACGAGATACATTGTATGGTAATTTTCACGTGCATGAACTACACATTCGGAGCATCTTCATCACTTGGGAATAGTCTCAAATAGACCAAGACCTCTCCGTAATACTCAGCTATACGTGCTACAGCTTGGCCAATTAGAAAAAACCACCGCTATTCGGAGAGAAACACTGTCCAGAGAACCTTGGAACAATGTCTGCCTGAGTCATCCTTGCCGTCTTGTCATGCCCCGGTATTCGACGGGTCTCCACCAGGCAATCCTCAAGACGTTTACCTATACGACATTCTAATGTATTCGGCAATTTCTCGGTGTTCGTATCTTCAATTTCCAAACTATCTATGCTATATCCATAGGCATAGATCTAATTAGTATACTGGAAGCAACAACCTACATAATTCACCATGCTCACGGTAATCCCTCACTATACTGTACGATATGCCATCCATACACCCGGATATATCTCCGCGACCTAACAGCTACACGAATTTAGGCCGGGAAACATGATACTCCTAGATTACCTGCACATGCATCTATCCAATCGCAGAAGATCCACCGTATTCATCGAAGGAAAAATGACTCAAAACCGCCCTACGAGTTGGACCTCGGCACAACTGAGCTCTACCAAACTAACCGCATACAGCGCCGATAAGACATGTAGATCAGGAACTATACAAATGAAACTAGGGTCTGGAACAAGAACATGAAACAAGGTATCTTTGGATCCCGTGTACGAGATTTAAGGAGAACATCCCTGGTCTTCTGTGCCGTACTTGTATTTATAACCCGATTGTATCGCGTGCCTCTCCCATGGATGAATATCAGATATCAGATAAGCTTGATTATGCTTAACGAGACAACGAGATAACAAACGGCACTGTCCACACACCTATACCGAAATTTGAACAAAACAAATACCAACTGACCACCCAGAAACAAATAAATAACCCCAGAGCCCAATCCCTTCAGCCCCAGAGCCCACGAGAACTACCTCGGGAAAATAAGGGATCTCCAGCTCCGCACCCGTTTATTATCGATCTCCTGTATGCGGAGAGCCCTATAATGACGCCTTCGGGATCTCTGAGGCGCGGTCTTTTTTCGGTCGGGGATCTGCTGTTCTACCGAGGTATCCATCGGTGCATTTTCGTTTTGGTTCGGGTTGTGGTTCTGGGGTATACTCCAGTCAAGCTCGTTTGGCGGGGTCTCCATCTACTGAAATATATAATAGATCGCAGCAGTACAAAACATATATCTGCTGGCACATACCATATAGTGAAGCGAAGATATAAATTAAACGTCCATTCTTTTTTATTTATTGAGCTTCTCTTAGAAAAATCAAAGATTGAAAGTCAAGTCGTAACCGAAAACCAGCGCTAGACAGTAAACTCTGCCTGATGATGTCCTGATCCAATATCTTGCTCACTTCTACCTAGGCTTTTCTATTTTCGTTTTGGTTGCTCATGCTCACACAACCTGTGCAACAATTTTAGCCGTAACAGCAACACAAAAATTCGAAATTCAATCAATATGCCTGGGCAACAACTGCCTTATGGTACGTCTCGTACGGAGTGATAGTTCCCAACGAGCGTCTCATGTGGGCATTGAGAATTTCCAGCCCGTAGACATAACTGGCATTCACCCAGCCGAATCTGTAATCGAATTAGTACCCAAGGTATCCACATAAGGAGA